TTTGTCTTCAGTTGTACAGTGTCGCGCTATACAGGAAGCAAATCGACGAGGCTAAGAAAAGATGTTTCCTTAAAGGTATGATTTGTTATAATTCTTCAGTTTTGAATTATTGTTTGAATAGAGCGATTTTCAATTGAGTACCATTAAACCAAAACCAAAGTAATCACTTTGACCAATCACAAACAACACAGACAATACAGTGAAGCAATCAAAGCTCGAGGCAATTACATGTAGCTAACGGAAAGTGCGGAAAAACGAGTGCAAGTGGGTCACAATTGGCTTTGCTTTCACTTCTGATTGGATGAAAAAGTGGGGCGAGTTTTTTAAGCCAATTATGTAGCGTGGTTGATACAAAACCAATTAATTTTCGACGCTCAAATAAAAACCGCTCTACTGTGGCACGCATTATCAAATTCAAATAAAAAATGAAAAAGTAATTGGCGTACATGATGGTGCAGAAAGCAGGGTCTTCAGTAACGTTTTATTCTCTTGGGCTTCACTTTTGACTTGAATTGTGTCTCGTGTTTTTATCTTAGGACCTCCCGTAACAACTCCGACACCGACGCCAACACCCACACCTGCTCCAAGAAGTAAGTTACTATTGCATCATGTGATCGTTTCTTTTGCTTCGGTGTTCATTACAACTCGCAACCTGAGTTTTTCGCGACAGAAAGGTTTGTTTCCACGATACCTGAATTTTGTCGATTTAACCTTAAAATGCCCTCTTTTAGTTCGATGTGCAAACCTTTTTTCGCCAAATGTTAATGACATCGCTTGAATTACGATACGCGAACTGTTGTGTTTCTTTATCGTACTTACAGTACAACCTTCTTTCACAACATCTGTGACATTGTGGCGTTTTATTGCTCATTGTCTGTATTTCTTGCTGTCTACAGTTTGTACAGCCCGTGTGGATCTCGGTTTCCTCATTGACGCCACAAGTTCTGGAAGGCGANCGTAGGCGTGACGTATGACGAAAGGAGTCAAGCGGTGACCGTTTGGGTGAATATGAAAGCTGTCCTGACAAGGAGAATCGGCAGAGTTCAGTTAGACACTGAGAAGGTGATCAGACTCGGTGGTCTGATAGGCAGCAGGAAATATTTCAGAGGACGGCTGTTTTGTCTTCAGTTGTACAGTGTCGCGCTATACAGGAAGCAAATCGACGAGGCTAAGAAAAGATGTTTCCTGAAAGGTATGATTTGTTATAATCCTTCAGTTTTTAATTATTGTTTGAATAGAGCGATTTTCAATTGAGTACCGTAAAGCCAAAACCAAAGCAATCACTTTGACCAATCACAAACAACACAGACAATACAGGGAACCAATCAAAACTCGAAGCAATTACATGTAGCTAACGGAAAGCGCGGGAAAACGAGTACAAGTGAGTTACAATTGGTTTTGGTTTCACTTCTGATTAGATGAAAAGGTATCGCTAGTTTTTTAAACCAATTATGTAGCGTAGTTGATGCAAAACCAATTAATTTTCGATCCTCAAATAAAAACTGCTCTACTGTGGAATTTCTTATCAATTTCAAGTTAAAAATGAACAAATTTTTGGCCTGCATGCCTACAGAAAGCAGTGTTTTCAGAAACGTTTTATTCTCTTGGGCTCCATTTTTGACTTGAATTGTGTCTTGTGTTTTTATCTCTTAGGACCTCCCGTCACAACTCCGACACCGACGCCAACACCCACACCTGCTCCAAGAGGTAAGTTACTATTGCATCATGTGATCGTTTCTTTTGCTTCGGTGTTCATAACAACTCGCAACCTCAGTTTTTCGCGACAAGTTTGGTTTCCACGACACCTGAATTATGTCGATTTAACCTTAAATGCCCTCTTTTAGTTCTATGTGCAAACCTTTTTTCGCCAAATGTTAATGACATCGCTTGAATTACGACAACCAACTGTTGTGTTTCTTTATCGTACTTACAGTACAACCTGTTTTTATAACATCTGTGACATTGTGACGTTTTATTGCTCATTGTCTGTATTTCTTGTTGTCTACAGTTTGTACAGCCCGTGTGGATCTCGGTTTCCTCATTGACGCCACAAGTTCTGGAAGGCGATATCTCCAACGAGTGATTCAATTCGTGCGAGAAACTGTTCGTAGATTCACCATCTCCAGTAGCGCCACACGCATCGGAGTGGTGACGTATGCGTCACGTGCCAGACGAATCATAGCACTGTCCGGAGCTTACTCTCGGGGACGCATTTACAATGCAGTCGGTCGAATTCGAATTCTTAGAGGCGGGAGACGACTAGGAAGGGCTTTGTCGTACGCCAGACTTTACCTGTTCAGAGGAAAACCTCAGTGTGGCAGACGAAGAGTTTTGATTGTTCTAGCGGCTGGGCGGTCACTCGACAGAGTACGAAGACCGGCCAATGCGTTGGAGGGAGTTGGTGTCGAAATATTTGCCATTGGACTGGGCCGTGTCAGTAGGAGAAGTCTGCTGAAAGTTACAACTGACACGAAGCACGTGTTTGCTGTTGGGTTTACCCGGATTTTGTCTATCGTGCGAACGCTCAAAGATAGAATCTGTTACTCTCCCGGTAAGCTGACAGTGAAATGACCCGCTGTTTTATCTGATTTTGGTAAAGGTAGCACATGCAGGTTTCTGATGTAAATGGGAAGTGTTTTCCTTGATAAACACATAACTGACTTCCATGAGAAATAACAATTAAATTAAACTTGGACCAGTTGAATTGCGTTAAAATCAGTGGCCATGCAAAATAACTCCATTTCTTTATGGTCAACAAAAGTTCGCCCATAAATATGTTATTGGTACAACAAAAGAAATCTGTGAGACACGTCTCTTCCTTCAACACGTGTTAGTTTCCACCATAACATTGTCCTCTAGCTAACTCGTCACATCTTCTTACTCTCTGTACCAGAGAGAGAAGTCTCAAAATGTGATGTCTTAAAATGTTTTCATGCTGGTTATCTCATTTTCTTAGTGATTCGCCGAGGATCGGTTGCAGTTTACCCGTTCACCAGCGCCTCCGAGAACCGCGACGTCAGTTCTTACGTGAACCCACCTGCAACATTCGTTGGCGTGTACTACACGCGTGGACCTGACAACCATCCTCGGGGAGCGCTTTCCTTCAGGGGAACAAGAACCAGCTACGTTTTAATTCCCAACAATGGCTGTCTTGACACGAGATACTCGCTGACGATCATCATGTGGGTGTTTCCCGAGAGCTCTGGACCATTACTTCATTTTAATCCAAAAGGCTGGGGTCTTCATCTTTGGATGATCAATCGCTTTAGACTGTTCGCTCGATTCGTACCACGCTCAGGAAAATCTGTGAAAGCGCTCTACAAAAGAATAAAGCCGCGGCGATGGAACTACATTGCTGCAACTTACGATCGGCGAACAGGCCTGGCAAGTCTGTGGCTAGACAGTCTTCCCATCATGCAGCGCAGAGTGGGTCGCTTCCGGAGTGGTCTTGCTACGAACTACCCCATTGTAATAGGAAGCAAACCCGGAGATCGACGCAAATTCCGCGGAAAGATCGCCTGTGTACAGATGTATAACTACGCCATGAATGGCCAGCAGATTCGCAGTAAAAAGAAGAAGTGTTTCCGTGAAGGTTTGTATTGGTGCGCTTCTGGAATTGTTAAGTATTGTACTGTTTCTTTGTTTGATTAATGAACCAATGTGTTTTCTTTTTGTTTCTAGTTGTTATTCCTACGGCACCAACTATTCCACCAACGAAGCCAACAAAACCACCAGGTAAGTACGTGCAGGTCTCGTGAATGTTTTGAGCTGTAATATGTAAAGGAAAATAGTTTTGAAGAAACAAGGTTACCTTTAGAACTTTCATTGAAATTGTCTCATTACCCTTCGTCATGTAATAAGTGACAAGGAGCCG